AGGAATGGTAACAAAGGAAGTCCATGCTGGCTTCCCTGGGCTAAGAGAAGGCAGCCTCTGAAACGAGCTGTTACTGGAGTAATTAACACACTTGAGATTCTCCCCATTCTTCACAGAAAGCAGCTAGAACAGGTAAAGCTTGGCATTCCATTGTTCAAAAAAAATAGTTCACACAATTAGAAACAAATCATCCTGATGAAAAAGCTTTATGAAATACTAGGTTTAGTTCAAACATCTCTTTGGTGGTTGTACTAACTTGAAGAGGGAATTACACAATGTAATTGCACTCACATCAGTCATCTGACAAAAAGAAAGTTTTAAACCCAAGGGAGAAAAATGAATTCAAAATAGTTGGTTTTTTGCCCCCTAAGAAAAGGACTGGAAACCAATCTTAACCAAAAGGATACTGTCACTCATAATCTCTTGCCCTTTATTCTCTCTTTTATTCAATCTTGGAGCTTCAAGATCAATGATAGCTACAGCTTCTTCATCTGTGATGCCATCTTCCAAATAGAACTCAACCAGGTGCAGCACTTCTAAAGAGGTATGAAAAGCAAGAGTTCACAGTGCCTCCCAGAAGACACTGTGCTCATTCAGAGATGAACACCCCTGGCTTCTACGATGGTGGTGCTCTGCCCACATGTTCTTATGAAGCAAGTTAAAGACAATAAACCAAACAAAACCCCCTCAACTTCCCAAAGGATTGCATCTGTGTTAATGAAACACTTCACACATGCAGTGTCTCACAGCAGACCAATGCTTAACTGTTGTTGCTGTCCTGCAATGAAATACAGCAATCCCTGGGACAAGAGGCAGCCACATAGTCGAATCTAACATTAAAAGGGAAGATCTGCTTGTCCAACTAACATTGCAGAGAACAAATTAAGCACTAGCCAACTCTGTTCAGTTAACATTTATCTACTTGAAAAGCACAACCACATGTGATAACCCAACACACCGTAGGAGGAAGCGGAGAAGACAAAAGGCTGCCTGCAGTTAACACAGACATTCCCCAGGTTATTCATCAAAGGGTTGTTGGTAGAGCACCTGTAACACAAGGGCACAAGCTCCTGCAAAGACACATACAGAGCACAGTGATCATAAACAAATCAGCATATCCTGAACTCTGTTTTCAATTAAATATGGGTTCCTTAGGCTTAACAACTCTGATACATCATCATTAATCTGGAGAAATGCTGCTGTGAAATCAGATCCCTCAACATCTGAAAACACTTCCCCTTTTTAATAAAACAGCAAGTTTTCACATTAAAAATAGCCATATCCACCACTGTAACAACTGAATTGTCACCTTGCCTTTGCAATCTCAGAAGCAGAATTCTGCATCAAATACACAGTGATGAAAGAAGTCAAAGAGAAGGTTGCCAAAGCAAAGTTTTTTGCTCTAAGGTTTGGTCAAATTTAAGTTCTTCAATTAATTCACTGCTCCTCCAAGAGCAGAGTTATTCTAGACAGTTCTTAAGATTGTGTTTCTATTATTTCAGGTGGCTAGGTGCATGTTCTCTTGCACAATACAATTTATTTTTACCAAGTACTCCAGGAGACATGGCTTTATAGAACACTGCAGAAAGTCAGGCTTCAGTTAAAGAAGAAAAGGTGTTAAAATAAGACTGAAGGAAGGAAGGTTATTCAAGGGATAAGGGAAGGAGGGGAGGAGTGCCAGGAGTGGGACAAATGAAAGTGACCTCCAGCTGGAGACAGAGACCAAGAGTGTGGAGTAATTGCATGTGGATCAGAGAGAAAAGGCTCGAAAGAATTAATAGGCAGAGAGGAAGGTAGATGCCAGACAGGAGAGGGAGGATGGAAGCTGCCATAAAGAAAGGGCTGATTTTAATTTGTTCTCAGGAGCAAAAGGAAGTCAGACCTGAAGAACAACAATAAAAGGACTGTTTCCAGCAAAAATATAATTATATTGCAGAGCTATGCTTAATATATTTCAGACTTTTTTTGTGCATACAGCAACTCAGATGCTTGGACGAGGCCACATATTAACGATTAACACGAAACACATTACAACTTACTTCACTGTCATGGAATGGCTTGGATCGGATTGTCAGGCTGCCCAACTCAATTGATTTCTGGAACCTAGCTGGGATCTGCAGTCCCTGTAACTTGTCATAGGCATGACGAGCCAGTTTGTATGCACCAAGAGCTTTACTCTGTTTTGCCAGGGCAAATAATGTATTGCTATAACTTAATTAAGGAATAAAAATTAAAACAGCATATAGGAAAAACTGCAGTACTCTTTCTGATCATAGCAGTTGTGCAATGAAGCACAGCCAGCACCGGTGCTTGGAACAGGAGAAATCCACTTACATAGCTCCATTTAAAAACAAGAATGAAAGGACTATCAAAGGACTATCTAAATGCTCCTTACCTTATTAGCAAGGTAAGGAGCTGACCCTCCATAAACACTGCTTTGGTTGAATATGCTGGCTCCATTTACAAAATTTCAGTAGTTTTAGGGTGAACGGATTTCCCCCCAGCCTAAATAAATAAATACCTCAACAGCACCAGTAACCCCAGTGACACCAACTAAATACCCATGATCTTACTGGAATTAAAGCACATGCTGCACGCCATTGACCACAGGTTATCTTTCCCCTTCATCTGTGTGTAATGATAACTGCTATTTGGAAAGTTACTGATCACAGGGCATGTTACAAATATACAATCTTTCATAAAGCCTTTCATAAGTGAGGAGGTTATGAAAAGGAAAGCTAACATCCCATCCAAAACCAGAAACAGAGCGCAACCAAGGAAAACTGGCCTGCCCATGGCATCCAGTGACCCTTCTTGCCATCTTTTACAGACAGGTGGCTTTCCATGGGGCTCACACAGACCGTTTCTGAAGTGCTCTCCAGAGATGCAATATGCAGTAACAAAGCTGTGCAAATGTGAGCTTGACAGACACTACACAGCGATACCAGCCTCAGGGGAAGCAAAAGCTCCTGGTTTTCCCCCCTCCTCCTGTCTCAGTTCAGTCTCCTTGCAACAACACTGTCAAGATTCAGAGCCAACATCCTGTTGCAATGACTGGTATCCTAGAACTTGCTTCTCTGACAAAGGTGATACACCAGCCTGGGTGGGTGGTTTGAGAATCACGTTAGGTGATAGGTACAGCTCTCCAAAACTATTAAAAAAATAAAATAAAAAAAAGGCAGTGCAGTTAAACACACAACAGTTTGAAGATGCTGATTATTTCCTTAGGGACAAAAGCCAGTTTCCATGAACTATAGCCAACAGCTGAAACTGAAGATATCCTGCAGGAAATCTCTGTATTGTGGATAAACATCAATTATTTCTTTCATGTCTCTCACAAGATAACTTCTAGATTTTGTTCTGTATTGGAAGGATACACTTTTGAGATCCCCAAAGGAGTCTCCTTTGTTAAGCTGTGCAGCAGGAACCTGGAAATATTGAAGAGGGTTTCAGGCAAGTGGGAACTGAATGGCTCCTCCTGCAGTATTAAAAATACAGACATGTATTTTTAAGCTGGAAAACCAACTCACATCACTAAGCACCCCTGCACTGGGCATCTTAAGTACTGTATTTCTTCATACAGTTGTAAAAAGAAGAGGTACTGACAGAACATAGCAAGTGGATTTTGCGTCTTTATCACCAAACCTCATGCAGAAAAAGAGAGAAGGAGATCCATGTAGCTGAACCAGAATCTTTAACAGGCTATTTCAAACTGAGGGCAGACTGGCCAGCAGCATGGGGTCTCCATAACTGTCAGGTCTGAAGTAGTCTGACCAGTAAAGACCTCCACAGCACAGCATCAGCTCTTGGGCAAGAGCACAGATCAAGTGTTCTTAATGTTTTACACAAGGGGCATTTTTACCAACAGTATCAGCAACATTACTGTAACTGCTGGAAGTAGCAGGAGCACCTCACTCATGACTGCTTATCATTTTGGAGTAGTTTGCACACATTATGTAGCCTGTGTAGGTCTAGAGGTTCAGGTCACTGTAGAACCAAATGGATTTCCACCCCCAGCAAAAAAGGGCTGGGAGTGGAAGTCAGTCATCATCATCTCATCTGCCCACATGAGACAAGCCCAGATCTGCTAAACTGCACTGCAGGCTTTAGGAACTAAGACAACAGAAGTTCCTGTGCAGCACAGCAGAAGGCTGTATAATAAAATAAAGTTAAAGAACTAAGTAAGTTACTATACACTATCACTAATCTACACTCAATATTTAATTGCCTGAAAAGTCATTCATTATTCCTAGCTATTTCTGGACTCCCTAAAGAAGAATGCCCAGGAAACAAACACAGAGCCTCTAAAGCAAATGTCTTACAGTGTATCTGTGGATAGCATGATAGGCATGGTAAACTTCTGCCAAATGCTGGAAGTGATGAAACTTCTGCAACATTTCAGTCTTCTGCTGTTCATTCTCTGCAGGAGGCAAAGGCATCAGTGTAAGTCTCCAAGAGGAGTCTGTGAGAGTCAGCTGGACAACAGCGTATTATGGTTCAGGTGCCAGCACTTCTGAGAGAGACAGGTACCAACTCATGTGTGTCCCACCTCCCTGCACAAACCACACATCGTACAGACTTGCCATTTTTCTGAGCAAATTTCTGGTCTAAAGTAAGCATGGTAAAGCACAGAACAGTTGGGGTGATAGTTTTAACATAGCTAGAGGCTACAGCTTAGTTAAAGGAGAAAATAGCAGGTCTGCATCACTGGAAACCTCATCCATAACTACAGACTTTATAAATAAACATTTGTTTCATAAATACTAAATACACTACTAAGCCATTTGGAAACATTTGCATCTCTACAGAATACCTGAGGGGTACCAGCTCCACACTAGCATGCAACAACTGAACTAAAAAATGAAAGGTACTTACGGCACCAGGCCAAAGGCAGTGTTATCAGTCTCATGTGTTAATTATTACTAAATTTCACCTGTTACTGGCTGCACCTTTCTCTCAGTGAAATACATTCAGAAGACAAGAGAATAGCTAAAGAACAGGCAGTTTTATCGCTGGCAGAAATAATTTGTAAAGTACCTCTCCAACCTCTGTTCAAATACCACATGTATTCTGCACTCCCAAATCATCTTGGATTTACTAGTACATTCACCCTGCAACCATGTCCCTAGATAAGGTGTGCTGTGGGAAGGTACCTCAGGGTACACAGTCCCAGGAGACACAATCCGGACTTGCGCTCAGGAGGCCTATGCATGCTGCTGTTGCTGTTTGGCTTATTTGTTTTAAATGAGCACATGGGAAAACCAAAAGACTACAGAAATAGCACAAGCCAGAGTGACACACACATTAAAAAACCAAAACAAAGCCACACAACAGTGAGGCAGTCACAGCAGTGCTACCACAATACAGTAATTGTTTCTCTACACGCACAAGGAGGTAACAAGAAGAACAGAAACTTCCTTTCAGTTACTTACCTTGGGCTATATCTAAACACTGCATGGAAAGCATCCAGTAATAATAGGCGGCATCGTTGAAGCGGCTCTCCAGCACGGCGTTCCGTGTCAGCTGCTCCAGCACCTGCGCCGCCTCGCGCTGCCTGCCGGCCTTGTGGAACGCTACCAGGGAGCCCAAACAGAGGATTTTACAGTGTGATTATATCAATTAACTGAAATTAATGTTTTTAAATTAAGAGCAGTCTATTCAGCCAGTATCGCATAGTCTATCCAGGGCAGGATAAAAAGGATTATACGCTGGTATTTTTCTCCTTGAAAGCAGCGATGCTAATGGAACATGAGAAACATCTGTAGCTATTTTGTGGCTTTTGCACTGTCTCCGCAGCTCTCAAGCTCATGGGTTTCGTACAATGCTGGTTGCTTTTTTTAAATACAGAAATAGCAGAAATGCTACCATGATTAGATCTCTGTACGAGCAATCTCGACACTGCAAATTACAACTTCATTCAAAGCTACAATAAATTAACGCTTGAAGTTAGTGCTCTGGCTTGTAACTCTGTATATTTTGAAAGAGTACAGCATTTATTATGTCCTTCTATCATTTATTAACAGCATTTCTTTATCTGATGCTCAGCAGCCAGTATAAAGTAAGATCCTGAATTCTCATTTGGTAAGAGCGAGACATTTGGCAGAGTCTGCACACAGGGTAATGGGGATGGGGAGAACCAACCCTCCAGAACATACCCCACATCACAACTGCCTCCTGACTTCAGCTAGCTCAGCTATTACAAATTCTAATGTAGCTCCACGGTGATCTCAAGCTCACCCAGTTCTGCAGCATTTATATTTGCTGAGCTGCAGCAGCCCAGTGCTCTGTGGAACAAACTGGGAACCATAGGCCTGTATTCAGAGTTCTATGTGCAAGCTACCAGACCGCCCTAAAGCCAGGGGCTCACAGCTCTGGTGCTGAAACACACAAGCTAGTTCAGACCATGCCTGGCACGTTCACTGCCTTGGCCCTTAGAAGCAAATGCAGTTCTACTCTTGGATCTGCGCTGGCTCTGGGAACAGCAGATGCAACACTCACATGGAGCTGCACCTGAGAAGAGGAACCAGACTAAAAACACACTAGCTCTACACGGAGTTTGCTTCAACATCTCCTCATCCCTGGAACGGTTTACGAATTAAATGTGAAGCCTGTCCACATGATGGAAGGTTGACAGTTGTCTTTAAAAGTGACTTTGTAAGCCTACAAAACCAGACAAATTCTTAAAGAAATAGGAAAATGCTACTTGTACAAACCAAACGTTACCTAAATATAAAGTAAACCCAGGCTTCCCACACAGGTTTTTAAGGCAGTCACTGTATTTTTAATTCTATTATTATAAAACTGCTAATAAAGACAGCTCAGATTATATGCCAAATACTGTTGCCACTTGCCACACTCAGATACATGAGATGGAAAATCTGGACCTGTACTTAGATGCCATCATTTTTGACAGATCCATCACATTTTCTTATTAAATAAGGAGACTTCCTGCTACCTTAAGACCGATATGAAAACATGGATTTTATTTGGTTTTGAATCTCAGTGGTAAGGAACTCTCTAGGCAGAGACTGCATGTTCTGTACCAGGCAAGTATGGAGCAGATTTCGAGTGATCAGTGACCCGTCAGTGACAATCTCACCTTTTTGGGCTTCTTCAAATCTATCGTTCTCTGCTAGCCACTGAGCATAAGGGACACAGACATCATCTTTGAATTCAGGGTGCTTTTCACACAAAGCACATGCCTGAGGTAAACAACAAATTCATTTTTAGAATACGTCATGGTTTAAACAGTTAAAGGGTTTATAATGTTCCATGGAATCAATCAATCCTTTAGCTCTAGGTAAACTCACATAAAAATACACACAGAGAATTGAGAGTGCAATCCAGATTTTCTCCCATCTGAAACTAATGTATTTTAAAATAAAAGCAATCACCAACAAAAGAAGAGAAGCGAAGCGCACTCACAGTCTGGTTATGGAAACAGGGGAGCTTGAAAGTGCTCATCTAGGGAATGTAGCGGATTTCACAGCAAGAGGCAAATATTTTTATTTTTACAGACTGGATCTTCTAAAGCAATGGACCTCACACTATAAACGCAGTTCAGATCCACTTCCTGAACTCATGAACTAGTGAGGAAAGGGCCAAGTCTACAATTTTCCAACGCACCCGTATAACTGGGGAGGGGGGTTGTCAATTCCAGCAGCACTTTCGAAACATTTCCTTAAGAAACCAGACCTACAGAATCTTCACGTGAAGAAACATGAAGAAAATGAATGGTGACCCACTCTGCGAGGGGGGTGGTACCAGCAGACCCAGGGCTTTATGGGAAAACCCACTGAAGTCCAAACTTTATCTAATCAGAAGCATAAATCCAGTTATAGAGTGGGGTCCACAGCAACACCCGACACCTTCATCAGATCTAAATCACGTGTCAGGTATGTCCAAATCATAAACACCACAGTTTGAAGCAGACTTTCCCATGATACAATTACTACTTATTCTTTCTAGTGGGCTAGAAGCATCCCATAGATTATCACAGGAAGTGGGCAACGGTAACTCACAGGCAAAATAGGTGCTCAGATGTGAGACCAACTATTCAGCCAGGAAACTGAACAACTAGAAAAACAAAAGCAAAAACCAAACCCACCAATGAACAAACACTGGCATGAAAATTAACTTAAATACTCTGAATCCCATTCACAGAAGCCTCCCTCCTCCCTGCCTGCTGCTCCCTTCACTACGGTGCTGGGGGAGCCAGACGCTTGTCTCCCCTTCTTGCAGCCAGCAACTATAAGCAGAGGAATCAAGGCCACTCTTACTTCTTCCCAGTGGTGAGTCTCCACGTGGAGATGGACCAATGCTTTCAGGTCACCAACCTTCATGTAGGTTTCTGCTGCATAGTCAGGATTAGCAAGTTTCTTAAAATAGAAGGCACACTTCAACAAAGGCTCACGCTCAGCTTTATCCAGTTTTCGAGCAATTTCAATTAACCTGGACCCAGTAAAAAGAAGCAGATGTTCATGTTCTGCCTTGGTTTGCCTTTTAATTATTAACTATTGTTTATATTATTAACGTCACCTTTAATCAGTTATTATTTAATAAACAGCATAGCAGTAGCACCATGCAATGCTGTTTAAGCAGTTTTCAGCAAACATTCCAAATTCTTATTTTTCCTTTCACAAACTCAAACCCCATTCCTTCAACCTTCACTTATACGTGCAACTCCACGTCTCGGACTCTGCACAGTCATGAAGATGGAGGAAGTAGGTCCTACATGACTAAGTGACATGGGACACGCCTCCTCCCTAACCTAAGAAAAGGCTGCTGACCAACAGTCGTACCACACAGCACAGCTGAGGCAAAGGAAGGCCAAGTGACCTGTCCAAGATCTCAGGCAACTCAGCAAACAACCCAGCGTCACCTACTGCAAATCAAGGAGATTCTGTGCTCCAATTGTCTTCTCTACCCACGAGGTGATCATCCTTAACAGCTTAAACCAGCAGAAATAGGCTATTGCATGTAAGAGCTGCTGTGGTGATTACTCTGAAAAGGCATGCATATTTTAGAAGACAGCCTCATACTACAGATGAACCTCTTCAGATCCTTTCCTGTTGCAATGCATTTGCTTTCATTACGTATTTATGTCCTTACCATCTAAACATATGTAACTTTAAAACATTTTTAATTGTAGATGTGCTTCAAGTACTCAATTTGATATAAACAAAGCACACAGCAAACAAGTTTTGTCTTATTTTAAAATTATGCAGAACTCGTAACAACTATTGGAAGCTTTATTCTATATTATCTCTCACATGGAACTAGAACCTACATATCAACCCAGCCGTGGTCCCCACTGATTTCTATAGCCTTCATGTGCTCGCCTGCAGAGAGGTACATCTCCACTGCTGCTTTGGGTTCATTGATATTCTTGGCCCAGTCTGCTTGTTTTTTTATGAGTATCTTTGTGTCTTTGGGGTCTCCAGATCCCAGGAAATCCTGCAACAGTGCAATACAGAAGTTTGCATTACCTTCTGCTCACAAACATGGTCACAGCTGAGACTCTAAAATAAAAGCTTTTTTAATGAATGTCTTTATGCCTCCTAAGAAAAGCAAGACTGCACACAGCACAGCATGAACTGATCCAGCCTTCAGCAGCCAATCGTCAAGGCTCAGTGTTTGGTAGGAAGCAATGGCAAGTCTCCCACTTAGATAGCTTTCAATTTAAGAAAAAAAAGTGGAGATTCTGAAAGGGCCGGGAGAAGGACGAGGCAGGAAGTACGTCCCCACTTGATTCCTTGGAAAGCTCACTCTGTTGAGCCTGTTGAAGTGGGTACAAACTGTCATTTCTGCATGCTTTTCAGGAACATGCCTTTCCAAAACAAAACACTGTTCATCTCAAAACCCATAACAGACCAATTCCAAGCACAGATTTTCTTTTGCAAGCCAAGAAGGTATCTCCTCAGCCCCAAAGATTGACCCAGCCCTACCCCATGCTTAGTTAACAGCAGTATACCCACTTCATCCAATGTCAGCATCAGGATGCCCAGCCACAGATCAATTAAAGGCTGAAATTTTGTTTTCTGCAAAGATACTTGATAATTATATCAGACTGTATCAAAGAAGTTCTTTTACAAGGATGGAACGACAGCTGCTCAGAAGTGACAGTGACTCAACTACCGCTTGGACTTCTGCAGGGAACACGAGCACCAGCCCTGGATGCTGTGGTGACCATTCTAGCAGCTTGTTCAGCTTCCCATGCCAATACCAAAGCCTTGGCACCATTTGGTTCACATGTGCTGTCCTCAGGCGCCAGGAAAAAAAACCCCAGTAGTTCAACAGCAGAAGCTGGATTTAGGGCAATTCTGTCTGTTCACAGAACAGGCTACTGCCCATTAAAGCAGCTTCCAGCAAGTGAAAAATGAGAACAGCGGAGAAATGGAAAGGTGAGAAGAGAGTGGAAAATTACTTTATCTACTGTGTTTCTGGTAAATTCTGATTGAGGTTTAAAACACAAAAGAACCCCAACAAACGGGCAAAAAAAACCCACAAAAAGCTCCCACACAGGACAGATCTGTTCCAGGACCACAATGCAGCAGTCTCCCTGCTACAGCCAGTCAGCAGGTACAGAACTGTTCCCCATCCCTGTCAGCTCTTCAGGGAGCTCCACACAAGGTTTTGCTCTAGCACTATCTGCTGCCACACAGCCCTCATTCTATAAAGATGTCATGTTAATCCTTGAACATGAAAAACCAAAGTGAAAGAACAAGTTAAACGACATCTTTGACACAACTTGTTTTCCAGCTTAGGTCACCGAAGTAAGTCCAAAATCAAGCTCCACTCCTTTAAAGGATAAAGAGGTTTTGTGAGTTCTCAGTAGTCTGGGATCTGATACTGCAATAACAAGCCAATGAACAGGTATCAGTGGACTTCCTGACCTCTGCCACCAGTCTGGACTCTCCAGCCAGAGCTAATCAATGTCCAGCACCAGGAATCAGGTTCCATAAGGGTACCTTTGCATAGTTGTGGAAGCATTAAAAACAACACCCCCCCCCAACCACCCCCCATCTTTCCTTGGAAACATAACTGGCACACAGGGGGTTTTACATATCCTTCCATGTATTGTGCACAAGAAGCTTCCTTCATCTGCTGTAAAGTACCTTTAATTTCCTCTGCATGGAGTTACTCTCAAGGATAGGGACACAAGACCTTTTGCTCTCTGCTAGTTAAATATAGACATGACTACAGCCAAGACTTACAAGAGCCTTATGAAGACTTATGGGAAAATTTTCATCTATGAATTACATTTATGTTCAAGAGGAGCCAAAACACTGAAGCTAGCAAAGAGTCATCAACCAAAAATAGTGGAAGTCAGACTTACATCAGCAAAGCTCCAAAGTATTTATATTAAGCTCTTGGAAGAAAAAGATCTCTCTGTGGCCCAGTTTGTGGAATCTCTGCTAGAACAGCTTAAATGCATGTCACAGTCAAGTCTTTGCCCTGTATTGGGCAGAATAAGGTTCTGACAAATGACAAATGAGACTAAACAGTGCATGCATTCTCAGGCATTCTGATAAGAAAACACCATGGAGGACTTAAAAGTCATGTAATGCTTTCTTACCAGCATATCAAAACATCGTTTTTAAAATCCATATTCAATTTACTTCTACATGGAAACAGAGTTTAAAAAAATAAAACAAAAGGCCAACACATATCGAATCATTGGAAGAAAATTCTCTAGTAAAAAATATACTAGGTTAGATCCTTTGCTAGCATCCCTCTTCAAAAGCAGTTACAGGCACGTTAATATTTCTGCATTTAAATATTCAGTTGCAGACCATTACCTTTGCGTGGTCAAACATGCGCAGGTCAGAGTACATCTCGAGAGCGAGGTTTTCATGTCCACTCTTCCTGTACAACTTCGCTGCCTCGTGGAATTTTCCCTGGTAGGCATAAACATCTGCTAGGAACAGCTCGTTGTTGTTCTCTCCAAGCTTCTTCTGCTCCTGGAAAAACGAAGTACAGCAGAGATGTAGAAAACAGTCTAGATGATCAGGATCTAGGTGCGAAATACCCATTGAGGAATTAGATTTTCAGGCTTAGATTTTAACTGTTAATGAAAACCAGTAACAGGGTATCATAATTATGCTGCTCCTACATTTCTGGTGAATTTATAATTAAAGGATTACATCCCTTCTTAATTAAAATTAGGAAGAGCAAAATTAAATGTCACTATACAAACCAAAGTGATGAAAAACCACTTCTCTTGATTTCATACAGGAAAATGAACACATGCTATCATTACGCTCTGCTATTTTAAAGACAGCGTCTGATGGGTTCCTTCTTTTCTCCTGGAGAAGCTCACTTGCATATCATTTGTCTGAATTAACACTATGACAGTGGGATGACAAACATGACAGTAACTGGTAGCCATAAGCAGAGTTGGAAAGTCTGTTAACCTGCCTCTGAATCAGGAAAGGCCCCGCTGCCATCCCCCCATGCATGAACTGGTGATGTTGGGCAGGCAGCAGCGGCACATGCCCTCCTGCTAACGGGGGCTGCTGCCTGCCTGCCTGGGAAGGGACCACAGAGGCAGCACATGTGCAGTGCCGTGGGAAAACCCCCCATGTGAACCAGACCCACAGGGGCACACTGGCTTCAAGGGACCAGTGCCGTGTGTGTGTGTTTTAATATGTATGCTTTATCCTGTCTCTTGTAAACACATTACTCCCTGCTTTGGATAAGACTATTACTACTATTATCCCACCTCATATGGAAATACGTAGATGCGAACTGAATTTAAGGAAAACTGCACAAGAGGAGGGAAAGCATTCCACGAGCATACAAATTCAATTCTCTGCTGCCAAAGGAGACTCAGCCATAGCTCCTCTGGTCACACTCACTGACTAGGCTGATACTGAATGGGTACTGAACATTCCCTTTAAAAGCTTTGTTACAAGAATAATCAAAGGAATTGTTACACCGATTTTTAAAGACTTCACAGGATCTTTCCAGACACAGAGATCTGGCAGTTATGTATCCTGCTGTCATCAACTAGAAAAAAAGTGTGTCATTACTGAGAGAAAACCATCACATCAACGGAACATGTGTGCTTAGTTACACCCTTACAAGCCTCAGGAGGAACCCAATACACCACAAGCAAGAGTAAGCAATGACGTAGAACTCTTACTTCAGGAGGAGCATTTTCAAGTCTGAAAGTAAGTCAAAGGGAATCTTTCTCATTAAATAGAATACATGACAAATCCAGAATATCCTCCATAGACACAGATCTAGAGAAGCATATGTGGAAAAGAAAGGTTTGCAGTAGCAAGAGAATGCTCTCCTCTACCTAGCTACCCTTTAAAGGCAACACAAAACTTTGTCCCATGTTAGAACAGTCAATTGCAGCCAACTGTCATTTTGACATAACCAGGACAGCTCTGCAGAACTAGAAGACAAGGAATGTATTCTTTCAGAGAAGGTGTAAATCTAATTATCATGAGAATGAGGAATTCCTTTTATGCCATCTCAACACTGATCTTTAAAGTAAGCATTATCATGCAGTCTTTGCAGAAGGACAAGGGTGATACCATGTCTTTTAATATGCTCATGACAGACAGTTATTGTCTAGTGAATTTCTATCAAGAAGTGTGAAAAGAGTTAAGAACTAGTGATTAGAGCACAGTATGGAAGTAAAGAATCCCAAATTCTATTTCCAGTTGTCACAGACTTGTCATGAGACCTTGAGTTTGTCATTTTACTTCTCTGGGCCTGTTTCTGTCTCTGCAAAAAGGAGATAATAATAATTACCTACTTCCAGGGGGTAAGGAAAGGCTTAATTAACTCATGTTTATGAAGTATGCAGTACTAAGCTCTGGTAGCACAGTAGTATTCTACCAATTATTAATTGAATATTGAATGTTTCCCAGTTTTCCCGAAGATAGTTTCAGAAGTTCTCATCCCACACCCCCATTTTTTCCCTGTGATGTTTCACAGCCCTATGACTGAGATTTGTTTCACCTCTGCTCATTGGGATTTTTCACTCTAAAACACATCTCCAACAGTCAGAAGCACTGTCTCAACAATTCTCCCTCCAAAATACAAAGCACTGACTTTGGCACAGCACTCAGTGTAAGGATACGTGCAGTCTTTTACACTCCCTTACCTCTATACTGCTGATCAACTCTAAATATCGAAGGTCTCGTACTCTGGTAAATGCCTATTGAAAAGAAGAATGAAAGAAATTGACTTGAAAGCCAGAAGAATCAAAATATTGTTATGCATAAATCCACTGTCATCATGCAACAGGCCAGACAGAAACATGCTGGGCTTTGCGTCTGTGCAGTCCCTAACCCGAGGGGCTCTCACAACAACTGCGGCCCTGAGACATCACAGTAAATAAGACCAAACAGCTTAGCACTGAAAATAAACAGCAAAGGCAGGGACTAGTAGGTGCACGTGTCAGTCCCCCAAGAAATACAAAAAGTCATTTATAATATTACCTATTTTCATTCTGGCTATTTTATAGCTTTTCCATTTTGATGCGAGGCACGACGCATGCAAAGAAAATCTAAAGAAACTATTACAAGGTAGAATGTATAATTGATGGCAGTCCCAAAGCATACTGCATGTGCTTAGAGCTTTTATACCATTCTGAACACCCAGTATGGAAGTGGCTCAGGGAGAAGAAGGGAAATAAGAAGAGGTAAGAGACAAGTACTGCTAGGCAGTGTAATATCTTTTGCAAATGGAGATAAACATGCAACCCAAAGTCTCAAGTGGCAAAGTCATGTGTGAGCTGCAGCAGCTTAGCACTTACTCTTGACATGCATCAAACCCCAGAAATTTAACTCTTTAGACTGCACGTTCAAGACTTCCAACCAAACTAATGCCTGAGAGAGCACAGCACATTGTGCTTACACCAGATTGGACTAGGAGCTAGGAGAGCCTTTAATGTCAAGAAGCTGCTTTTGTTCAAATTAATCCGCTCTAATTCTACGAGGGCAGTACTTTGAAATCCCAAGGAGGCACTGAAAACTTCTTTTCAAGAATATCTATTTGCATAAGGCCATCCATGAAACTGAATTATTCTGATGCCTCCACTTAAGAAAAAGAAAAAAAAAGAAAAAGTGTTTAGTTTCCTTTTTAAAAAATCAGTTATTAAAAGGTGCCTGTTGTTATAGGCCACCCCCTGCATATTTTTAGAATGTTTTGTTTTTCATACCATATTCATGATACTGAATTCAGTTCACCCCTTCTTATTTAAGAAAAGGTGGTGAACAAAAATAGGGAAGTATTTCATGCTGGAGAAGACTCCATTCTCCAGTATATGCCCATTTACGGACCACTCCCCAAACCAAGGCATTCCAGAAAGAAAATGACTAAAACAATGACATTACATCATCATTGCCTTCAGATAACATTAACGTGTAGCTAGAATATGAAAGCTCCACATCTGAAAGGAGGTTATACTAAATACTAGAGGAAAATAGGGGAAACCTGCAAGTTCCCAGCACTGGAGAAGGGGGGAGTCAGCCGAGGCGTTCTGTGGTGCCACCCGGTGGTCAGCAGCACTACTGAACATCCCCCCACTTCTCTCTCCCTCAAAGTCATTAACGCATCTTCCAGCATTAGATGAAAGAAACCATTTTCTTCGCATTTAACACTCTGATTCAGAACATGGCACTTATCTAGAGACATAAATTAGATTTCAGTTTAAAACCTCGTCTCAAGATCCCAGTCATATGTAATGAACCAACATTCTTATTCTTTGGTATGTGTAATAACATACATGCTAAAGACAAGCAAGATTGTAACCGAGGAACCCCACTTTGTACTCCAGCCATAAAACATACATCATACACATACACTATATATATATATGTACACACATAACCATATATATGGTTATATATCTCTCCCCAAAAAAATAAAAAAAAATAAAATAGCTTTCTGCTAAGTAAATAACTGCTTTACCTTTTTAGCAGTTTCAAACTCCAGCCCTTCCAAGGCTTCCATGGCCAGTTCTTTCCAGTCAGTATCAGTCACTCCTAAACATGCGATCTGATAGGCTGCTTTAAACATTTTTCGTTCCAGGTATTGATACATGGGTGCGGACTGGGGATTTCCATTGAAATACACATGTTAGAAAACAATACTGAGGTGTATTAGTGAAATTCTTACATAATTGGGAAAAAAAACAATATTCTAATCACAAGCATTACAAGCTCCACAGAGAATAAAGGTATGAGGTTTGTATAATAGACAACATTCTGGGGTGATTACTACTCAATCTTTAGACAAGCTGGGTTAATTATATTCCAAACTCATCCATCTTGAAATCTTCAGTTCCTTGCATATTAGGAAGTAGTTAAGAATGTGAATTCTTCTCTGCATTGTACATGCTAAATATCATGTACAAAGAGCTGGGGTTTTTTAATGCTATGGAAGCAGAGCAAAGGAGGGGGTAGTTTGTTCTTGAAGCTAAAAGCATGAGAAGGAACACAACAGCTTGGTGTGAAGCACCTTGGAAATACTCAGACACAGCAGGAAGAGGTATCATGAGGAAGTACCCCTGCTGTGCCAACCCTGGTGACAAAGCAGTTTTACCAAGACTGTGATTGCTAAGCCCAAAAGACACTGACCTCGAGGACTGCCCTAGAAACAAACAAAAGAGACAAACTGCCACAGACAGACCGAGGCTCATGATCTTGCAGCTTGAGCCCTCTGAGTGACCAAGGAGACTGCCTGTAACTCTGAGCTGGCACCCAAGGGCAGTATATGCAGATTCATTTCTGTTATTTTTATTAATTTATCTGAAAATTGTGTAGCTTTTTGGTCCTCCCTCCCTCCAAAAGCTGCCTCAGTGATGCTTCCCAGGAATCGTGTGGCATACTATTGCCTATAGCATGCCAAAGCAGGCGGAGTGTGCCAGGCCTGGCTGATCCATGGCTCTGGGCCACACTGGACAGCTCAGTGCCTAACCAAGGACCTGCACAGTGCTGCAGCAGGGCAGGCAGGCGCCTGGAACAATGGTGTGAACAAAAGCACAAGGCACTTCTGCTCCTCCATTGCCTCCATTTCAAGTCCTGCCACACCTGATTGCACAAGGCACAACCTTTTTTCCTTTTCTTTTTTTTGTTTTGTTTCTTGGGCTGGTTTAGACTCTTCCAGTGCTTCCCATAATGCAGAAAATGGCCTTCTGTGGAAGGCAATCTCTAAATTTACAATGTCAAGACTAACCACATAGTATATATTCAAACATACAGCTTAAATGTTGCCTAAACACATCTAGGTGAAGTGATAGTAAGACACAAAATTACAACTTGAGAAAAGTTATATAGAGAGACTACTGTAAAAATACAGGCAGAGGTAACACCCATACAATATCTTCACCTTTGCTTTTAGATTATGTGCATTTGCAAGTGGGAAGGGAGAATTAGGAACATGATCAACAAGAGCAAAAAGGAAGTTAGCTTAATTAATGCCAAATAAAAATATCATTTGGATCATGCAATATAATTTAAATAACAATGAAGAAAGTGTGAACTGCAATCACTTTGGTAATGGAATATGAGTAAATCTCAGAAAAGCTTCTTCACTTCTTAAACATTGATGTTTATGAAATGTAAAGCAGCACTTAATGAGATTAAAGGATTACCTGCGGAACTTCAACAGCTGACATAGAAAAACCATGAAGACAGAAGATCTTGGAGCCGTTGTAACCCACAACAAAGCCTTGAAGTTTTTGCTGATAGACAGGGAAGTTACTAGCTTTGATATTGAGGTAACCCCCTCCAGAAAAGCAAAGCATATCCTCACACTGTGTATTCCAAGCCACACTGTTCGCATTGGGCTCCTACCAAGCAAAAGAACTGATGATTACCACATGCGCAGTCACATCTTTCCTAAGAAACAGACATCCTTCAGCCAGAAGGTTTGACCTCTTATAGCCTGGATGTGTACACACACAGTTATTATTTACATGTGTAATATTCTAAAGCCTGATTTACAGGGACTTATTTTACATTTTAATAAACAGCTGTAATTGTCTTGCGTTCGGTTTGTATTTACTAATGATCTATACTATCAAACTGTAGAACATTATATCAAATTCCACAATAATACACTGTTAGTTAGCTAGCACATTCAGTTGACCATTTTTCTGTCTGTTACAAAAAGAAAGTTCCAGACCCTGTCTTTGTAGCACTTCATGCTTTCCCTAAAAATACTTCACCAACATTAATAAGTGAGCCCTTAGAGTCTCTGACTGCAAAATTGCAGTAGAGAGAGAATTATCATTATTCATTTTATACTCGGGGCATACACAACAAAATGAGGTTTAGGCTTTAATGCTGTTCATACTTATGATAAAGCCAAAATGATCATTAACTGTAATGCTTCAGTGGGAATCAGGACAGAGTGCTAAATTAAACTGAAAAGGTCACATGCTTAAGTGCCCTTTATTCAGCTGTTGCTCACATACATCTCCTGTCTTCTAATTCCTTATCCACCACCTCTAAAAGGGTAGTTTCAATAGTGAAATAGATCACAATTAAATGCTACAACATGTGAATAATGGCTTGTGACAGTTACATAACTTCTGCACAGCAACACTTTTGGGATGTTCTGTGCTCCAAACCACTTCCTGCTCGCCCAATACCCCCTTTTATTTCAGTTTGAATTTTACCTGAAACAACAGCTCCTTGGTGTGAATGTCATACACCAGGCAGGTATCGTTCTCATCCACCACTGCCAGCTTGTTGCGGGACGCGCTCATATCCAGGCAGCGCACAGCCGTGGATTGCTTCAGCAGTACAATCGCGAACGCATTGTCAACAAAGATCTTCAGAATCTAGACATGTGTGAACCAGAGTCAGTCCTTCCACTTTTGTTTCTAAAAGTTTTGTTTCTACCAACTTCAGTGCTGTTTAAAGTGTGCAACTGCATTTCTTTTCAGAGATGAACTGCATTATATTAAGGAAATGCTTCCAGTGGAAAGTCAAGAAGACTTGCTTCCACAACGTACTCTGGGTTGCAAGCCTATACAGATAAAGGATAGGCTATACATCCTGGTTTCTTTTAATGCTCCACTAGTTAAACAATTACACTAATGCAATACCACAGGAATATACAGCACAGGTACAGAAGACAGGGGATCCCAACTTCCTCTCTGTCCCTGTTCTCTGTATAACTACCTCAGGGCTCCAGTTTGAAATTTTCAGTTGCAAACTGGCTTGTGGAAGAGACACCAGTGTCACCCCCGGAGCACCCACACATTCCCAAAGGTCAGCAGAAGTGTACATACCCTCTTCCAACCCCCCCAAAGACAAACCCGCTCTCATCTCACCAAGAACTCCATTTTTGTCAGTTGTTCCTAACAACTTACGGGCTTTAGACAAAGTTAAGTATGCTTGTATGAATTTTACAGCCAGAGAATGTGAACGATAAAAGAAATTAGGTTTTAATCACAAGATGAGACTGTCAAATGGAATTCCAGAGCATGCTGCTCCCAAGACCTTCCCTTGAGAACACAGAGCAGATTTTATTTGCAGTGAAAAGACACACACAAGATGTTATGTGTTACCTGACCATTCTTTAGACCAACTAAGAGACCTTCTCTTCCTGGTGGTCCTCCAATTACTTTAATATAACGAATGAGAGATTCCATCAGCCATTCTCGTTCTTTAATGCCTCTAAAGGAGAGACACTGCAGTCTTTTCTCCTAAAGACACAGTAACACACAAAACACTGCATGAAGGTAAAGATAAAAACCTTGAGTCTTTGCTACCTATACTATACTAGATATGATATACATATATATATATACACACACACATTATACCCATAGTAGCATTTGTGCCTACTTTTACATAGAAAAATCATAAACTCAAATAGTCAGTTTAGCAGGGTGAATTATTTAAGGTTTTCCAGTGCTATGAACAAAAAAACATCACCTTCCCCACCCCCGTTTCTTGTAGTTCACTCCCACTCCAAAGTTCCCCAGATTATGTGCTAGAGAGTTTTGCTGCAGCAGAGCTGCCTGTGTGTGCCACAGCTCCTGCTCAGAGCACGCCAGCACTGCACACTGCAATAGCACTGCACAGTGGTGCCCTGGGGAAAAGCTGACACAGACCATGCAGTACCAGCATTTGGGACAGCTTCCCTAGAGCCTGAAGGCACCCCAAGATGACTTTAGGTTGTCAGGCACATACCTGGCACAAAATAATGTGCTCTGAACACACAACCAGCAAGTTGCACTCGAACTTTTTTGCTATCTTCTCCTTCACCCGGTAATACATATCTGAAGAATCATCTGAGCATAACTCGTAAATCAAGATTTTCTCTGGCATCTGGATTGCTAATCTGTTTTTGTAGATCGCAATTTTCTTTACAAGCTCTTTGCCTTTTATTCTAACTAGAAACAAACAAACAAAAAAACAAAACAAAACCCACAAAAACAATACAGTACAGACTGAAATGAAAATAATAGATACAGAAATCAGAAAAATTACTGATACATTAAAGCTGAATCTTTCTAAAGCACCTTTAAAATTAAAAGCAGATTCCTGCTCAGAGAAGTCTGTTGTTATACATCTATGTAATCTTCTATCTGCATCACAATTTATCATTCTTAATTATTTGTCAACAGCACATTCTGGTGCCATACTTTGACACCTTGCCATAAAAAAGCCATAGATATGAAGAAACAAAACTAGCACAAATCCTTGAGGCAGCAAGTAAGGGAGGGGGGGAAAAAAAAAAAAGCTAAATATGATGTACAGTATCGTTATCTCCTTCACAGAGATTAAAACCTTATCTTAAAAGCCTCTGCCCCTCCCACTGTCCTTTCAAATCCCCGTATATCTCATTAAGCTTGTCAGCGCTGATGCTCCAGAATCCAAGTTTGCACTGTCATCCTGCAAACAGTATTCCTCAGTTTTACTGTCAAAGTGACAACAATCTGTCTGGTACATGCAGCATATATTCCAAATGGATGGGTATTCATAGAATCATAGAATGGTTTCAGTTGGAAAGGACCTTAAGATCATCTAGTTCCAACCCCCCTGCCATGGGCAGGGATACCACACACTAAACTATGTCACCCAAGGCTCTGTCCAACCTGGCCTGGAACACTGCCAGGGTTGGAGCATTCAATTAATTAAAACAAAACAGAATGAGGGAGAAGCTTTGGCCTGACTGCAAGTGTGGAATTACCTTTTTGTTCAGTGATGAGGTGCTGGACAATAACATCGGTCATGCTGTCTCTGTAAGCATAGCGATCTTTATAAAGGCCATGAACAGTGCTGAAAATCAACTGATAGAAGGATATTGTTCCATCCTGGCACCCTACTGCCTGCACACAAGAAGAAAATAATTTTAGTTAATTGGTACATGTAGGTGAGAATTGGCAAAATGTGTAGTTTTTATATGAACATTATGTTCCTTTTCCTGCATAATGTATAGATCAATACCAACTGCAGCCTACTGGTACTTAAACAGTGGTGAAAGTGCAACACAGGAGGAGGACTGACCTCCTCACAGGCCATGAAGACCACCATGCTGAGAGGGTGGGGTTTGGTTCAGTTCTATTGTGTTTGGGTTTTGGTTGTGTTTTGGCGGG